GCCTGCCAGGAGGGATGGCAACCACCCAAGTGCCATGGGGTCTGGGACACTGAATTGGGTCAGAATATCCAGATTCGAACATGGGGCTGAGACTTTTGTTACCTTGGCTTACTTAGTGGTTTAGCAGGTTGGGGTGAGGGTGGTGGAAACCCTGGATTTCAGCTGCAGCATGCACATCTGTGTGTTTCAGTTGGTTCTTGTCCCAGCTCAGGAGAGACTGTTATCAAAGACTCACTTTTATTGGGTTAACTACATCAACTCCAACACTGGACAATACAAGGCTTGATTTGAGGGCATCCTTCAACAGGAGGAGTCCTGGTGGCACACTGTGTTAGGCTGGTAACAGTTAAGGTCGGCGGTTCAAATTCACCAGATGCTCTTGGGACAAAGCTGAGGGTGTCTGCTCCTGTAAAGATTTACAGTCTCAGAAACCCTAAGGATCAGTTCTACTCTAGCCTACAAGGGGGCTGAGTCAGAAAGGACTTGATGATAGCAGGGTTGGGTCAACAGGATTGGATGTGCAGGGATTAGGGTTGAGTGACCCACTCACTTCCACCCTCCTCAAGGCCCTTCCTGAGGCCTATCTTTTGCCCTTGGAGTGCTTGGGACTTCTGTCTCTGCCCAAGTTGGCCAATGGGATTATTTAAGGCCTATGGGTGATCAATGCATTGGGACTGGTATCCTCTTCAGTTTGTTACTTTTTGAGCACTTTTGTGTCTGACATGGTGCTTGATTTGGGGGTGGGGTGGGATGGAAGGGTGACACAAAGATGAATGAGGCATGGCCTTTGCCCCTGAGGGAAAACTAGACACACACACTTACTGTGGAGTAACTGGCTGAAGAAGATTCCATGTAAGAATCTGAGGGCAGAGGATGACTTGGGAAGGGGATGAAAGGAAGGACCTGTGGGGTGTTCTGTGAGACAGTCAGCACTGGAAGAGTCCCTGGCCACCCTGGATGTGGCGTGTGAGCCGATTGTGGATGGATCCTCTGAGCTCACTTTGGCCAGTGCAGGAGTGACTGGGACATGCTCCCCTGGGCCTGTGTCGGAGCTCTTTGATAAGCTTGTTATTGCTAAGTGCTGTCGACTTAGTTGTAACTCATAGCGACCCTGTATAGGGTTTCTAGGAGTGGCTGGTAAGCTTGAACCGCTGATCTTGTGGTTCAAAAAGACCTTGCAGTACCATACCAGGACTCCTGCTGAGCTGGTAAGAGCAGTATAAATTGTGGTGGGAGAGTTGGCTTCTTCCTTTGCCAGATGGTCTCCACCTGGCAGTTTGGCCCCGTTTTGTACTACATATTGATAAGTCATGGCTTTAGGTCACCTATGTATGACCTGTCTCCTATTACCCCATTATTCTCGCATCAGAATCTTGCTCTTTGTTTCAAGTGCTCTGTGAGAACCGGGGTAAGTGAGGCAGGAGTGGGTCAGGAGGGTGCACCCAGACAACACACCACATGGCAGTTTCCCAGGATATTTGCAGTCTAGAGACCTTTGGAAAAGCCACTGTAAAAGATAGTTTATCTCATCTAGGCAGTATCTCTCTTCATGCCACTGTGGAACAAAGGACAATGCTGCTCTAAATGTCATAGTGTTTATTTAAATCCTGAGGTCAAAAAAGAAAACATGTCCAAATGGCTTAGCAGACACTACAGAGAGATGTTTTAGATACAAAGTTTCTCACCCCTCAGTGTGCAGGTAGGGTATTGGTATCGGATGTGCTTCTGGGTAACTCTTTGGCAGATATGAATGAAACAGCCGGGCTCTCAGACCCGCTATCCCATAAGGCCACATGGGTTGAGTCAACTAAAGTGCAATTCTAACTTTCAAGCCCTCCATCCGAAGCTTAGGTATTGCTCTGCAGCTCCCAGAGGGGCTGAGGTCTCTCTGGATAACATGTATCATAAGGCGCTAAAGACGTTTTTCTGCCAAATTGTAAAGACGTACTTGATAATTTTTTTTTAAAGTGCTCAAGAGGGAAAAGGACCACATGAAGTGAGATGAACTCACCCATGGCCCCACTTGAAGAGTGTGTTCTGTAAACGTGGGCGGCTGCCTCCTTGGCCTCTGTGGATGGACATCCTCAGTTTGAAGCATCACTAATGGCCTCTCTTGGCTTTAATGCTCGGCACTTCCTTGACCTAAAAACTTCTCCCTTGGAGAATGATTAACCTGGGCTTTTGCAAAGGAAACTCCTGTAAGACTACACCAGTGGATGTCTACCTGGTATCATAAAAGACACAAGCTCTCATTTCCTCTGGGCTTGGAGTGGCTTCACCATTCAGGTGACAACTGAACTAGTGCAGAAAACCACCCTTTATTTCCAAGTTGTGTTATGTGGCTTTTCATCTCTGCATTCCAAATCCTGGGTTGTTTTACTGCTTCCAGATTCCTGTTTGAGAACCCTCTGCTCTTGTTTCAGATTGCTTGGAGTTCAGGGCCCATTCGGGTGGAAGAAACTCTCCACCTTGATAGGCATCCTTGGTGAGGGATGGTGTGCTGCCTGGGAGGTTGACTGGAGGCTTTGATGGAGAACAAGGCAGCGGGCAGCAGTAATAACCACCTCCCCCTCCATACGGTGACCTGGACCCCAAGGCAATTGCCTTGCTGATTTCCAGTGCACTAGTCAAGCTGGGGCTGCCACCTTCAACAGCCACTCTTCAATTGTCATGGACATATATATATATATTTTTTAAAGCATCTCAACCCAGTACCTCAGTATAGCTGGATACCTGTTTCAAATGACAATGAAACTACTGATAAAGGCCACACTTAAATAGACCAAGAAACAGTCGAAACGGCACAGTTCACAGCAAACTAAGTCCAAGAGTCTGTCCAGGGCACAAAAGTAGCTACGTGTATGAAACCAGAGTTAGAGAAATGACTGCTGAGGGACTCGGCCGGCCTCAGTTCGCACAAAGGACCTTTCTTATACCCACGTAGTCAGTGTTCAAGGTGGTGTCCCCACTCAGACAAGGGGTTCTGGGCTGGCTTCAGAAGAAGAGCCAAGCTGTTGTTCAGTTATACTTAGTTCCTCTGCTGCTCTGATTGACAGAGTGAGGCTCAGATTGGAGCTCAGGGACAGTGGTGACGGTCTTTCACAGTTCCAAACACACCAGCTGCTCAACTGATAGCGTTCTTGTTGTGAATGATGGTGGTGACGCCAACAGAAGGTCATTGGCGTGGTGAGTCCCAGGAAAGCTGAGCACTCCAAAGGAGGCTACACAGTGCTCTGGTGTCTCTTCTAGTAACATTCTGTTTCCTTCTTGTGGTGGCCCAACTGATTTCTGAATGTCTTTTGCCAGAGGGCGGATGGATTCAATTTGCTGTGTGGCACAGGGCTTGGAACTTTCTGGAGGCCTGGTGCTAAGCACTGTTAGGGTCTGGCCAGAAAGGGGAGGAGTGGGGAGGAACCTGATGGCTTCCTGCTCCAGACAGCTGCCCCAAGGAAGCAGAACGTACCAGGAGGCCAGCCTTCTCTTGAACCTGTGAAAGGTTCTCTTCACCATTCTCATAAACAAACTGCTTGCACATATCCAAGTGTCCATCTACATGAAGGGCCTGAGTCCTTCTCAGGAGTATTTCTTCTACGCCCTCACCAGAGACCTCTTTGCTGGTGCTAATGCTGGGGCTGCTGGTACACGGAGGGTTGAGAGGTCTGTACTGGGCTTGGCCAGGAAGCCCCTGACCTGTTCCCAAGCCTTTGCAATAAGTCAGACAACGTTTATAGATGATAAGCTGAAGCTTAGCGAGGTGGTATGACTTGACTAGGTCACAAGGCTGGCTGGAGGAAAACTGTCCAGTGCTGTTTCATTAGTATCCACTTCCTTAGGTCGAAGTGGACCAATTTGGCAGATGCTCTGTATACCTGTGCAAGTACTCAGACATGAACAAGAAGCCTCCATGGTGGGAAGAGAAAAGAGTCACAGAGAACAGGAAGATTCTTTCATTCCTGTTCAGGAACAAGAAACGGGGAGTTACCTGCCTCCAGCAGAGCAGTCTCTTGGGTATCAGCTGTAGGCTAAGCAGCAGGAAGTGTGCAAACAGTGTGCTGGGGGATCTGGTAGGTAGGGCATTAAAGACCAAGTAGTAAACAGAGCAGGTTCATGAATAATGCTTCTGTTTACACTTGTGTTATCTAAGACTTCTGAGAAGAAGGCCCCAGGTTTGGAAAGTGGTTTTCACCCTGGTTATGCTCACTAGGTAAACACACATCTGCATAATATACATAAACAAGGGCGGGGCATGACAGCAGAAGAGGAGGGAGCCCTGAAGACCAGCTCACAACTCTGCTTCTGGCTGCTTCACCTTCCAGTCTCTGTGCATCCTCCAGAATGGTGGTTTCTCTTCCTGTCTTTAGTTCTGCTCTTGGGGCCATGCTGTGAGCTGTTGAGAAGTCTGGCAGGTGAAGGGCTTGCTTAAGGACAGAACCGTCCTTCCGTCCACCTTAGAGACCACTCCACTGGCTGAGTTTTGGAGCAGCCACACTCTGGCTAGGACAGGAGGCAGAGGTGGCTGGGCTCTTGGAGGGCCTTGTGGCCCCCTTTTCCTGGGCAGACCTGTGAGTCTCAGAGACTGAGGGCTGATGGGATCTGGCCAGGCATCCTGGCTCATGAGCAGAGTGGGCCATATATTTCTGCAGACAGAAGTCAAGATTCCCATGAAACATTCCACAGGAGGAAGATCCCAGGAGAGGCCAATGGGTTCGTAAGTGTTTAAACCTTTGGCACAGTGTTCCTTTCGGTAAGACAGCTGGCTCCCAAATCAATGGAAAAGTGGTCACTGAGCCCTCACAAGCCAAGGGGCTATGAGTGGCTTGTGCATAGTGCAGGGTGCAGGGCACTCTGGCGTTATGGGGCTGGGGAGGGCGTGCCCCAAGGCCTCTCCTCCAGACCCGCCCAGTCGATTAGTCTAGAGAGAGGCCATTTTTTTTTTTTTTTTTTTTTTTTTAGTGTTTTCTGTGATAGATGAAGAAGAGTAGTGTTGCTGGTGCCTGAGGCTACAGGAAGTCACTCCCATCATAGATGACAGGTCGGTCAACTGTTAAGTGATAAAATACTTTCTTGGAAACAAACCTGAGAAACAGAAATAGAAAGCTGGTGTTACTCTGAGAACAGCAAGCCTGGGGGCGGGGGCTGCTCTCTTGACCTGGCTGGCACTGGATGTGAGGAGAACTTGTGTGGGATGGATTCTTCCAGGCCCCTGTAACCCACTTGTTGTCTGGTTAGCAGGGTTGTCTCCATGCAGAGGGTCACCTTGGGCCATCACCACGGACTTCCTGGGGCTTGCTCTGAGGCATGCTCACCCCTGTGTCTGTTGCTCTGTACTGCACAGGGCACGCCAATGGAGCAGGCAATGTGGCAGAGACGAGTATAGATGCCATCCCAACCATGTGGCAACCCGACTGGGATCTAAATCAGTTTTGCCATCCCTGGTTGGAAACCTTGAGGAGGCCCATGAGATGACTCTAATGGGTCAAGGCTGGACCGCTGCAACACAGTCACCTAGTCCTGTGGTTCCTGGGAGCTTGCTTGGGCTCAGGACTGTGCTCTGCCCTCAGAACGCTCACCTCAGCTGTCAGTCCCCAGTGAGGCTCAAGAGGTGTGGCAGAGCTCGATGCTAATATTGCTGCACATAGGAGGAAGTGGGGACCACAGAAGGAAATGCAGAGCCTATGTCAGGCTGATTCCAACCCACCCTCTTATAGTCACCCTGCCACCCTGCCATCTGAGATGGGCAGGGACCTGCACCTACCCTGGGGGGACTCTAGAGCAACTCTCTGGGCATGCTGGGCCTGTGCCCATAAAGTCCTGCTATTATGGCGTGTGTTCATTTGTGCAGGAGGCAGGCAAAGTGGAAGCTTGACCTCCCCATCATGCTCCTCTTTGGTGATACCCTTGGCCACATGGTCAAGATGTGGAGGGTGGCACAGCTTTTCCCTGGAGCATCCTGTCAATTAATCTGCTTAAAGCCCAGTGTGCTGGGCTGGGTGTCCAGGTGTGGGGGATGTGGTGTCTAGCCCAGGGTCCTGCCCAGTAGGGCTGTGGCCAGTGCTGATCAAGCACGCTTCTTTAAAAGGCGGCTCCAGTGAATGGGCTTTGATGAAGCCAGAAAAGATACAAAGGGGCCGGTGACCAGCAACCCTAGCCACCCTTGCCTTATGCCTTGTGAAGGAGGGCCCCGGTTCACAGTGGATGTTCAGTCACTGTTGGTCCCCCTCCACTTTCTTCCATGGGCTCCCTACAGCCGATCGCCTGCCATGGCCATCCTCCCAGTCCTATCTCCTTCCGTCGACACTCTGATACAGACGGCTCCCAGGGCAGCCTCAGTCCTGCTGATCTCAGACTTCTTTCTGCTTTCACTTCTCTCTGCACATTCACTCAGTCAGCCAGTCCCTCTTCGGGCAGAGCAGTGGGAGTCTGGACATCAGAGAGAGTCAGGAGAGGGTAGCAGCTAAAAGTGCAGACTCTGGAGCTGGACTGTGTGAGTTCAAGTCTAGCTCTACCACATACGCGGTGTGTGACCTGGCGTGCCACAACTCCTTCTGAGCAGTCATTTGAGGAAAAGGACAGCTCCTAACAATGGGATGCTGTGACACTTAACTGAGTCAATACGAGTAGAATACCTAGAACATGCTCAGCATGCTGTAAATACTAGCCTACGTGTTATAAATGCTCTAACAAACATGGGAACACTATAGCATAGGGGTCTAAAATTTGTTACTAAATGAATAAAAATTTAACAATTGATTTCTGATTTCTACCTCTGAACACTTGGAGAACAGGTAGACTCTTCCAGATGCAGGTGAGTGAGGCCCCTACCTTGAAAAGGAGTTGTCAAAGATGAGCATGTAGATGCCTGGTGCTCGCACCTTGAGCTGGCCCTGGATGTTCTCCTTGTGGGAATTACAGCGGGTCATGGGAATGAGGACCTGGAGGAAAAGCAGACACAAAAGGGTCACAGAGGCTGAGGGGGCTTCACAGATCCTTTGGACACATCATTTATTTCAAGGAGGAGACTGAGGCCCAGGGAGGCTGAGTGCCCTGTTTGAAATCACAGTTGAGCAGGATTGGGAACATGACCAGTTTGGTGGGGTGCCTTCCACATGCCTGGGGTGTGTTAATGACTTAGAGCCCATGGACATCTGCTTCCTCCAGAATCATGAACTGGTCAGTATCCCTAGAGAGTGGTCATCAGTCTCCCTTGACCATGATCAGTGCCAGAGGGCTCCCCCACCTGGAGAAGCAGCCTCTTTCTGGCTTTAGGAAATGAAATCCATCTGTCTAGGGGGTTCCTGTTTCCTGGGGCTGCCCTTGTGGCCAATCCTCCTTCCACATGATGATCTTGAATGCACTGCACAAAGCTGAGCCCACTGTCCTGAGTCACCTGGCCCCACCACACACCCCTCTCCTGGTGGAGCCTTGGTCAGCTCACATTCCTCAGAGCCCTTTCATCCTTCCATGTGTGAGCCTCAGCCTCCTGTCTACTCTGCCTTCTCTAATCATGAAAAATGAGCTCTAGGAGATATGTATATTCTTAGGGCACGTTCTGAGAGCTTCACTGTCAGAGGCAGTGATGTGTGCCAGGCAGGGGCAAGTCACTGGGTGGCCACCTTATTCCCCACAGGGCAGGGCCTTCTCCCTGATGGTCAGCTATGACACAGGCATCATTTGTAAATGGAAGATATGATGGGGAAGAAGACAGTGCCAAGCAACATGTTAATTACACTTTTAACAAACATTTTTTTGATAGGATAAATGTGAAGACAGTCTTGTAAAATGTCCCTAAGTCTTCCATTTAGGACTGGCTCCCCAAAATGGTTACACAGGGCAGAGACCCTGCTGACCATGGTCAACATCTTAGCAACTCCGAGTTCCTAAAAAATTGCCCAGGAGAAACCACTTCCTATTTTTATAGAATTAAATACTGTTCTTTTTTTCCCAAAGTATACTTTGTATTAAATTCAGGTTTATCTTTTCCTATTAAACACTTTATAACCTATGTAAAATGACTGAACCAAGAATGGTTATAAAACTGTCAATCTACAATTCTATACACAGAAAAATTTTCTTTCAAAAAATGAAGCCAAAACATAGACTTTTTCAGTGGATAATAGCTGAAAGAATTCATTATTGGTAGATCTACCCTATAAGAAATGTTAAATGAAGTTCATCAGGCTGAAGGAAAATGATATCAGATGGAAATATGTATCTATACAAAGAAATGAAGAACAGTGGAAGGTAATTGCAAAGGTTATATATTTAAGATTTTTTTCTCATTATTTAAATCTCTGTAAATGAAAACTAAATAAAGTAATTCTTGTATTTGTAGGGTTTGAAAAATGCAAAAATTAATATATAGTGTGTGGAGAAAGATGAAAGAGTGTCAAAATATATAAATCAAGCCATAACAGAATTGAAGGAAGGAATATACAATGAGTCCTGGTGTGGCACTGTGGGTTAATGTGCTGGACTGAAAAGTTAGTTTGAACAGCAAGTTCAGTGGTTCAAGCTCACCAGCTTCTCCTTGGAAACTCTGTACAGGGTTACTATGAGCTGGAACCAACTCGACAGCACTTAACAGCGATATCAACAATGACAACAGTGGGAGATTTTAATATACAACTTTTGAAAAAAGACAGAACAACCAGAAAGAAACTCAACAAAGACACAGAGGAACTAAATGCAATCAAACAACTTGACCTCATAGATTTGTATAGAGCATTCAACCCAACAACAGTACAATACACATTCTTTTCCAGGGTACATGGAACATTTTCTGGAATTGACCATGTCTTAGGCCACAAAACTAGTCTCAATAAATTAAAAAACATCAAAATATTACAAAGCATCTTCTTTGATCCAATGCTATAAAATCATGAATCAACAATAGGAAGATCAATGAAATAAAATCAAATACGTGGAACTGAATAACACCCTAATTAAAAGCTACTGGGTAGAAGAACAAATAAAAAATGAAATAAAAAAATTTCCTAGAACCTTCTGATGTGGGACATTCCCACTTGAAAATACATGTAGACCAAACCAGAAAGGCTGGGAGAACAGAAGATCCTTATTGAAAGAAAGAACACAGGGAAAAAAAACCAAAAAAACAGACTGTTTGGCTGTTAGAATATCAACCAAGGTGTTTGCTTTGGAGGCATCAAGCAAGAAAAGTCAGCCCATCAGGGGTAACCCCCTTCTAAGAGTGAAACTCAAAGGGAACCAGTGAGCAGTCTAGTATGCACACTGATGACTACCTAGGTCTACTTGTTAGTGGAAGTGGGGGAAATGCACCAATGAAGACATGGGCTGAGTTTGGCCATGTTCTATTGACACCCATTGACCCTAAGATGAGAGAGAGAAGAGGAAGGGCTGGCTAGTCTGAAGTTTAGGGAAAAGTGTGAACTCTGAGCCTATGGGCACTAACTTAGCCACTGGGAGCTACTGCTGAGAGTGAATTGGCCAACTGATCTGAAGTGTGGGGAGGTGTTCGTGAATTCCCAAACTTGCAACTAGTACCCCATTGACCTAATGTGGATGGCTAGCTGACCAGAACTCAATCAGATTAAGATGAAGATACTTGATGCTGTAAGCAAGTATACATTGCTACAATTTGATGAACTGAACCTTTGCTTACGGATGCAGTTGTTCAAAATTCTAACCGAAATGGAGGGATTCTTCATATTCAAGGATAAAACTTGTTTTCTAAGTGCTGGGGATGGGCAGTTTAGACACTGGCTATCAAAAATGGAGGGCTATAAAGGCACAAAGTGGCTGGCTTACAAGCTTTCATGAGTGTGTTTAGTTTCAGAATAAGCAGGGTAATATAGAATCTCCACTGAATAGTTTTCCTCTTTCCCAGATGGATCTGGTGAAAGGGGATGAGGGGGTGAGGTGATAGGATTTTATGATTTAATTGTGAGTAATTGATATCAGGGCTCATCGTGATTGTCACAACTGTAAATGTAGACGATGTGTAACTACAAGTGGGAAGCAGTTAACCCTTCATTTCAGGAACAGAGGGCCTTAGAACCATCAAGAGGGAAGAGCATGAAATCCTACCGAGAAAAGCAATGCCAACAGAGGGAACGGCACAGAGCTGCTGAGGGCTCAGGCCCGGGGACTGAGAAAGATTGTGTGCCTGCGGCCAGCAGACTGCCTTACAAAAGGTGCTCTTTGGACATTTAAATAAAGATTTTTTTGTTTTGTTTTGTATGTATATATCACATACTTTTGCTTTGTTGATTTGTGAAAAGTAAGATGTAAAAGGAAGCCACAGGGAGGAAGCAGGATAACTGATGTTGCAGGGAGAGGACTGTAATCATTTGGAAAAAAGTATGTAATTTGTTGAATGTAAAGCTAATGATCTTGTCTATTAACTGTCACTCAATTCACAATAAAAAGTTAAAAAAAAAAAAAGTTAATGTATAACAGAAATCACACAAAGGATAGTAGGGGAGAGGTGGAAGCTCTGTCTTGGGCCAGCCCTACTCCATTGCCACTTTCCTATGCCACCAACTTCCAGCCAGTTAAATGTACTGTTAGGTCCAGAACTGCGATGAGTTAAAGATGTATACTACAAGCCCTAAAAACAATCACTGAAACAACAAAAGAATAAGTTTCAGCTAGAAGAAGGAGTTCATAAAAAACACTCAATTCAAAGAAGCCAGAAAAAGGGAACGGAGACAAAAAACAGATGGGACAAACAAATAAGAAATAGTAAGATGACAGATTTGAATGCAGCCTTACAAATAATCACATTCAATGCAAACAGTCTAAATGTCCAAATTAAAAGCCAGAGATTGTCAATCTAGATAAAAGCAAGACCCCTATGCTGCCCACTCCAAACACTCACTGCTAGCGAACCGATTCTGATTCACAGGGACCCTGTAGAGAGTTTCCAAGGCTGTAAATCTTTAGGGGAGCAGAAAGCCTCATCTTTCTCCCACAGAGTGGATGATGGGTTTCAATTGCTGACCCTGTGGTTAGTAGTCCAATGCTTATCCTACAGTGCCACCAGCGTTCCTTGTGCTGCCTATAAGAAACAGAATTTAAATATGAAGATGCAAATAGATTAAAAAGTAAAAAGGTGGAAAAAGATGTACCATTCTAGCATTAATCAAAAGGAAGCTGAGTTGTGTCTAATATCAGATAAAGAGATTTTAGATTAAAAAAAAATATTACCAGGGATAAATAAGGTCATTTCATAATGATAAAGGCATCAATTCACCAGGAGGAAATAAACATTCTAAGCATTTACATCTCTAATGACAGAGTTTCAAAACACTTGAGGCAAAGCGATAGACCTGCACAGATAAACAGAAACATTCAAAATTAAAGTTGGTAATTTCAATACCCCTCTCTCAATAATTGAGGGAATACATAGGTAGGAGATCAATATAGCTATAGAAGGCTTGGACAGTATCAACTAATTTGACCTAACTGACATTTACAGAAGACTCCACTCCCGAACAACAGAACACTTAAGAAGGGGCTTCAAAAAGTTCAGGGAAAAATGAAATGAAAGGATAGTGGAATTTTTCCACAAACTTTTTGAAGCTCCTTCAGTCCTTTCAAATCCACTCAGAGCATTCCTCCAGAGAGAACATACGCTAGGCCATTAAAAAAACAACACAAAACAAAACAAAAACACAATAAATTTAAATGGATTCAAGTTACACAAAATATGTTCTCTATGTTGTTGTTAAGTGTCTTTGAATGGTTTCTGACTCAGTGATTCTATGAGTATGGGTACCTGAGGAGCAGTTGGTGGGTTTGAACCACCAAGCTTTTCGTTACTAGTCCAGTGCTTATCCTATGTGTCACACCAGGACCATAATGAAATTAAATTAGGAATCAGTAACAGCAAGGTAGCTAGAAAATTCCAAAATATTTGCTAACTAAATAATACACTGCTAAATAACTCTGGGAAGGTAGCTCTGGTAGCATAGTGGTTACGAATCGGGCTGCGAACCTTAAGGTCAGCAGTTCGAAACTACCAGCCGCTCCATGGGAGAAAGATGAGGCTTTCTGCTCCCATAAAGATTTATAGCCTCAGAAACCTTGTATAGGGTCACTATGAGTCGGAACTGACTTGACGGCACTTAACAGCAACAAATAACTCTGGTAGGTGCGAGCAGTTAATGCACTTAGCAGCTAACCAAAAGGTTGGCGGTCTGAGTCTCCTCTGAGGCATCTTGGAAGACGGCCATTCTAACACGTATGAGTTGCCATGCACAGGAACTGACTCCACAGCAACTGGCATAAATAACCTCTGGGTCAAAGAGAAACCAAAAGGAAAGTCCCAAAGGTGTGGGTGAATGCTGCGTGTTCCGGACATGCTGGAAGCTGATGGTGCTGAAAAGTGGTACAGGGAGTCAGGATGACCCAAGCCAGCCTGGAGGGGAAGCTTTATAGAGGACCTATTAAGTATAGGCCCTGTGGCAGACATGTTTGTATGATATCTTTTTTAGGTTGTTCTGTAATATTCTAATTTCTGCAAGGACTAGAAACCCCTGCTGATGTTGATAAATGCCATGAAATTCCGACTGATAGTGACCCTGTATAGGGTGTCTGAGGAGCAACTGGTGGGTTTGACCACCGACCTTACCGTTAGCTTTCTTCTTGCTGTTCAGTGCTATTGAGTTGGCTCCGACTCATAGCAACCCTATACAGAGTGTCTGAGGAGCGACTGGTGCGTTTGAACCACCAACCTTGTGGTCAAGTGCTTAGTAGTCCAGTGTTTCTCCTACAATGCCACATCAGGACTCCGACTGGAAAGGGGTAAACCTTTCAGTGCTCGCTCAGGGAGAAGACTTCTCCAAAACTGCTGAGGCCATGACTGTGGCGAGAACACAACACAGGGTGAGGTGTATCATGGGCACCGTTAGGGATGGGGCTGGCCTGCTGTGCCCTTCCCTCTGCCGGGACTCGCGCTGTCCTCTCCCTCTCCACGCTGCTTCTCCTTGTATAGGCCAATGGCTCCCTCACTGTCAGGCCGAGGAGTCTCCTCCTATAGGACTTTTCTCCTCGGCTGGGTTGGATGCCCGCCCTAGACATATCTGCAGCCCCTCTCCACCCCCATCACAGCACTCCTCCCCTAGAATCACAGCTGTCTACCATTAGGTCTCCTCCCATTATACTGTGAGCAGACAGGCATGGCTCAATAACAGGTGGTCCACACAGTGCCAGAACAGCAGAGTTTGTGTTCTGTTGTTTCCTGCAGAGCATCAGGAAAGCACACAGCCACTGCCAGCGAGGTGTTGATGACAAGTGTCTGGAAACAGGTTGGAGGCCGGGTGTGATGCTGTAGGATCAGCACTGGACTGCTAACCCCAAGTTTGATGGTTCAAACCCACTAGTTACTCCATGGAAACCCTATGCAGGGTCACTATGAGTCAGAACCAACTCCACAGCACTAAGCTACAGCAACTGGCTAATGTTTAGGAGGCTTCAGGCAGTAAAAGTGTCGATGCCCATCCTGTATATGGGCTTCTTCTGCCCCCTGGTGTCCACTGTGGGAAATGACAATAGTAGTCATAACCATTGTTAAGTACCATGGAGCCATTTCGGACTCATTGTGACCCCCGTGCAGGGTTTCTGAGGCTGTAAATCTTTACGGGAGCAGAAAGCCTCATCTTTCTCCCGCAGAACAGCTGGTAGTTTTGAACTGCCAACCTTGAGGTTAGCAGCCTGATTTGTAACCACTATACTACCAAAGCTCCTTCATAACCATAATCCACCAAAAATGAGGAAAGTGAGTTTCTCTACATCTCCAACTTCCTGCTTGGAACTATACAGTCTCCCAGGGCCATGAAGGTTTGGCTGTGAGTGAGAAACAGAGCAAGAGAGAGAGGCCATGATTTTGCCGTCTGTGGGCACGTGGAATGGCCAAGGCCTGGACATGCTGCTACAAGTAGTCACCAGGTGTCTAACTGGGGAAGATGCAATATTAGGCACTTGATAAGTCTTGGATATCTGAGGGCTGCCATGAGTTCTTGGCAGTATAGCTACTTGTTAGTACGGAGCTGACAAGCACACTGGGTGAGGAGCTGCTTAAGCAGCTGAATGAGCCCAGCATCTATTTCCTCACCTGTAAACTGGGATTAAGACCTGCAGTGTGCATGCAGTGGGTGCCCAGTGGAGGAGTCTAGCTCTGCTTGCAGATGGGTTAACACTAAGTGAGCGCACCTTGGCCCACAAGTCATAGGACCTTCTGTGTGGAAGCTCAGAACCTAGGATTGTGGCACTGACTGCAAGCCCCTAAGAGAAAAAGAAGGGCAGGGTGGCTTTTAAGTCAAAAAGAATACGAGACTCTAAGAAACAAGGCAAAATCAAGGTGCCTGGAGCTAGAAGGCAAAGTTTAAGAGTGGGTTTGAAGAAGACAAAATTGACAAAGCCATCTCTACAATGTGAAGATACCAAAAGGGCAGGATAGCAAATTCCTCCTTGCCCTGTTGGTATCTTCTCCCACCAGAATGGAAGACTAAATCCAAGGCCATCAGAGAACTGAGGTGTGACCCCACCATGTCTCCTGCTGGGCCTCTCAGTCTGTGCCTTCCCCAGCCCTCCACCACAAGTCCTTGGAGGGCACCCAGTGGACTGAACACACGAGGTACTGACAAATATGATTGCAAAGACTCCCAGATGTCTTTGCACATGACTTGAAATTGTTCTTCCCTATCTTGATTCTTTCCATATGTATAGAATGGAGATTGAAATATAAAAAAATGTATTGGCTGAAATAGGGACAAGCCCATACCAATTCAAGGGGAGGGACATTGATCATGTTGATTTTTGCAACTATGTGAACACTCTAGGATTTACATTCAACTTCAGCCCAGCACTTCTGACTATCCTCACCAGTCCTTTCACTCAGTATGAGTGAAATGGAACTCATGTGTCCATGCAAACCAGCTCGCCCCCGACTTCCCCTCTACCACCCTTTCCCTATAGTTTAGACTTGGAATCCAGCCAGGCAGAGGGGCTCCATCTTCCTTACCCCACTGAATCGGCCTCTCCTGGAATGCTGTTCACTTTCTTTCCTTGTGTCCTGGATTCCATCCCCTTGATCTAGAGCATCAGGTCTCAATGTTGGCTGCTCTTTGAACTCACCGAGGGATGCCTGGGTCCTGCCCCTGGAGATTGTGATTCAGGGGCTGGGGGAGTGGCCTTGGCAGTGGCAAGTTTCAAAGTTCCCACGTGTTTCTAATGTGTAGCCTCGGTTGAGAACTATGGGCCAACCATCGTCAGTGTCCCATGCTTAGAATGTCTTCCCGACTTTGTGAACCATTATCTGTCACCAAGATGTCAAGGTCAGCCATGTAGGTGACACAGGATGACCTCAAATGTCCTTGCAGGGGAGATGTGGAGCACCCTAAGCTAATGCTGTCTGACCGCCATCAGAGGCAGAGATATCACCACCTCCTTAGGCCTGCGTTCAGCTCACTTATAAATGATTTGTAAACTGAGGCATACAGCTTCACCTACTAGTCCAGCCCAAGGTCTGATGGAATGTGTCTGGCACAGCGAGACCTGCAGACATCTGAAGACAGCTCTCCTGAGCCTCCAGCCCTGTCCTTGCTCAAGTTGAGCAAGCTCCAGGTGCTTGACCTACTCTGTAGGATATGGCTCACAGGAATGTCCACCCTGGGTTTGCTCCTCTGAATAAATCTCTGTTCATTAATGGAGCCTCAATCAGACCATTACATTCCAGTGAAGGCCTGGCTGGCCAACAGCAGAGCAGTGTGCCGGGCGTGGAGCTCCCAGGCCAGGGGCCTGGCTTACCTTACACTGATCCAGCGGTGCATCCTCTGCCTCCTGGAAGACCACACTGAAGGAGATGCTCTTGGGGTCTGAGGAAAAGACCCAGTTGATGGTGAGGCCGGCCTCGGCCACAGTGATGGGGATGAGGCTGTAGGTACTGGACCTCACAAACAGCTCCCTATTGCCTTCCCCAAAGTTGACGATGTCTTCCACTGTGAGGGGTACTTTTATCCTACAACAAAAATGTGGTGAGAGACCTAGTTAGATGAATGAAGTACTTATGTCTATTGGCTGGGGACTCAGAGGTGGTCAGAGATGAGGCCACTGGAAGGGCAAACTGATGAACATACTTAATCATGGAAGCTAGGCATGCAGATGTATACCGAGAATCTACTTCATGTTGGTCTGTCTACTAAACTAGTGGTTGTAGAGTGATTCTGACCCATGACAACCCATGTGTGTCACAGCAGAACTGTGCTCCATGAGGTTTTCCGTGGCTGAGTTCTCACAGGTCGGTCACTAGGTCTTTCTCCTGAGACACTTCTGGGTGCACTTGAACCTCCAACTCTTTAGTGAGCCACTCGATGGCACTTAACAACAACAACAATCCCCCCAGCAATCCCTCTTCTCAGTGGAAATCTGGGACCTGCTGTAAGATTCCAAATGGGCTTCCTGAACTTTTCTTAGTAGCAAAACTCCTAAACTTTGTTTACTGCAGGGGTGACAAACAGGGCACTACTGTTCTGGGGAGAGAAGCGTGCTGGTACTACATCACAGGTTCTGACTCTCACCAGATGGCTAAGAGCCTCTTCTGAAAGTTTCATATATTTAGGATCAGTCTTTTGAATCTCTATGCTTTTGGGACCTATTGCAGGACCAGAACCTATTGTGGGATGTGTAGCCAGAGGCACCAGGGTTCTGGGACCGATCCCTTTTCTTATCTGCTACATCTGTGGAATGAGACAGTGGAAAAGCCCCATATCATCCATCAGAACCAGGCCAGGGGTAGACTAAGGACCAGACCAGCAACTGCTCACATGCAAGTTCTGGTTGAAGCTGAAGAAAATGAAAATAAGTCCATGAGAGCCAAAATATGACCTTGAATATATGCCACTGGGATTTAGACATCATCTGAAGAACAGATTTGATACATTAGACTCTAAAGACTGAAGGGTGCAGAATGACATCAAGAACATCATACAGGAAGAGAGCTAAAGGTCATTAAGAAGACAAGAAAGAAGGAAAAGATCAAAATGGATGTCAGAAGAGACTCTGAAATTTGCTCTCTGGAACTGCTAAAGCACATGAAACAAATGAGGAGGTACAAGAGCTGAACAGAAAATTTTAAAGTTCAGCTCGAGAAGACAAAATCAAATATTACAATGAAATGTGCAAGGACCTGGAGTTAGAAAACCAAAAGGCAAGAACATGCTCAGCATTTCTCAAGCTGAGGGAACTGAAGAAAAAAATTCAAGCCTAGACAAGATGTATTGAAATATTCTATGAGCAAAATATTGAATGATGCAGAAAGCATCAAAAGAAGATAGAAGGAATACACAGAGTCACTGTACCAAAAGGAAATGGTTAATGTTCAACCATTTCAAGAGGCAGCATATGATCACGAGCCAATGATACTGAAGGAGGAAGTCCAAGGTGCATTGAAGGCAATGACAAAGAACAAGGCACCAGGAATTGATGGAATACAAACTGAAATCTTTCAACAAACTGATGCTGCACTGAAGGCACTCATTCATCTATGCCAATAAATCTGGAAGACACCTACCTGGTTAACGGACTGGAAGAGTTCCGTATTTGTGCATTCCAAAGAGAGGTGACCCAACGGAATGTGGAAATCACCAGACAATACAATTGATATCTCATGTGAGTACACTTTTACTAAAGATAATACAAAAATGGCTGCAACCATGCATTAACATAGAACTTCCAGAGGTTCAAGCAGGATTCAGAAGAGGATGTGGAATGAGGGATACCAATGCTGACGTCAGATGAATCTTGGCTGAAAGCAGAGAATACCAGAAAGATGTTTACCTGTGCTTTACTGACTATGCAAAAGTTTTTGACTACGTGGATCATGACAAGCTATGGACAATAGTGCAAAGAATGAGTATTCTGGAACACTTGATTGTGCTCATGAGGAACCTGTACATAGACAAGGAGGCAGTTCCTAGAACATAGGAATACCGAATGGTTTAAAATCAGGAAAGGTGTGTGCCAGAGTTGTATTCTTTCACCATACTTATTCAATTTGTATGCTGAGCAATAATCTGAGAAGAAAAACATGGCATCAGGATTGAAGGAAGACTCATTAATGACCTGTGATATGCAAATGATACAACCTTGCTTGCTGAAAGTGAAGAGGACTTAAAATACTTACTGATGAAGATCCAAGACTACAGTCTTCAGTATTGTTTGCATCTTAATGTAAAGAAAACAAAAATCCTCCCCACTGGACCAATGAATAGCATCCATAAAAATGGAGAAAAGACTGAAGTTGTCAAAGACTTCATTTTGCTGAGATCAATCAACATGTAAGCAGAAGTCAAAAAATCAAATGACATTGTGCCTTGAGTTCGGTTCCGACTCACAGGGACCCTGTACAGGGTTTCCAAGGCTGTAAGCCTTTACAGGAGCAGAAAGCCTCATCTTTTACCGACGGAACAGCTAGCAGTTTTGAACTGCTGACCTTGCGGTTCACAGCCTGATTCATAACCACTACACTACCAGAGCTCCTTTACATTAGGCAAATCTGCTGCACAATACCTCTTTAAAGTGTTGAAGAGCAAAGATGTCAATTTGAGGGCTGGAGTGCACCTGACCCAAGCCATGGTATTTTCGGTAACCTCATATGGCTGCAAAAGTTGGACAGTGAATAAAGAAGACTGTAGAAGAATCGATGCATTTGAATTATGGTGTTGGTGGAGAATATTGAAAGTGCCATGAATTGCCAAAAAAACAAACCGATCTGTGTTGTAAGAAGTACAGCTGGAGTGCTCCTTGGAAGTCAGGATGGTAAAACTTCATCTCTCATACTTTGGAATATTATCAGGAGGGACCAGTTCCTGGAGACAGATATCATGTTTGGTAAAGTGGAGGGTTGGAGAAAAAGAGGAAGACTCCAACGAGATAGACCGGCACAGTGGCAGCAGCAATGGGCTCAAGTGTGGCAATGATTGTGAGGTTGGTCCAGCACTGGGAGTGTTTCATTCTGTTGTGCATAGGGTCGCTATGAGTTGGTATTGACTCGATGGCACCTAACAACAACAACAACAACAACAACTATCTACAGAACTCATATCACAACGGTAAATTCTGCGTGCCTCTGGAAGCCAAAGGGTACTAATCAGTTTCCCAGATTCTGTGATAACCTCAACCTTGACCATGCTGCCAGAGGCTCTTAGGTCTTACAGTGAGGTTGTCAAACCTTGTTGTCAGCCCCTTGGAAAGAGCAGGGAGACAAAGGTTGATGGTCCTATCATTCTCCTTGCATGTGACTCTACATCTGCAGCTGACCTATACTCACTATTCATTTTACACTGTTCTCTTTAAGGGTTTGCCATGGTGTCTGTGTGCTGTGATTACTTTCCCATCGTCTGAGTTTTCTTATTCCTTTACTTGAATATAAACTTCTAAGAAGTTTTATTATGAATGTTTTCAAACATTGTCCTGCCCCTCCTCAAGAAGCACACCAATGAATCCTGGAAATATTTTAGCAGACAATCAATCATAGGATAACTGAAAGGTAGAAAAAGGAAGGCAAACTGCCTAGGAACACTAATCACTTGAGAAAATCACCAATGGCTTGGGGTCTCTCACCTGTCCTTTACTGGCCTCAGGCTTGGAGAAGCATATGCTGCCCCTGAAGGTGGCCCAGGCAGCGAATGAGTGAAGATCTAGGAGTACCAGGTGAAAGCACTGACCCAGCTCTGACAACGAAATTCTCTTGGGAACCACAGCCTACCAAAGCAGGCCAAGTAATATACACTAAACTAAAACAGCACGACTGACTGTTTCAACAGACCTAAATGTGACAAACTGTCTCCTAACAACTTCTCACAGAATATCCAAACTCTCTAACACACGAGGGTAAGTAAAAAACTACTGCGACTACATTTCTAGTTCACATATGCGTGGGCTTATTCTACACAAACCCTGTTTAAACATGCCTCTGTGATCAGTGGATGGCTGCAGCCAAGTTCTCTCATTAGTACGTTTGTCTTAGTCTCTCAGAGTACCTTCAAAAACAAAGCAAAGGTCCAATCAAAACAGTGGCTTCTGAAGGGACCTGCTGGGCCAGTTCAAGTCGGAGCCGAGAGGTCAGCTTAGAAAGTTATGGTGATTGCTTTTTGGAATTCTACAGGGGCCATCTTGCTAGATTTTCCTGAAGGATGCAGGACAATCATGTGGACAAATGCAGGACAATCATGAAGAAATTTTAAGCAAGCTGAAAACTGCATTGGCAAGGAAAAGACCTGGAAAGTTTTGCAGATTTTTTTTTTTCTTCATCAAGACAACACACGTGCCCTGTGAAAATTTCACTGGGAAACCTTACCTCATCCACCCTACAGCTCTGATTTTACCTCTACAGATTGCTGTTTGGTCCCCACTCAAAGAACATTTAAAAGGGACATGATTTGAGTGCCTTGAAGATGTTCAAACTGCTAGTTTGATGTGGTGTAAATTAAAGAGTGCAGAATTCTTTGGGGAAGGTTAGAGAGAAGGAAACACTGTCTTCAGAAGTGTATAGACTAAGATGGAGGTTATACTGAGAAACAATGGCTTCACATTTTGATATTTATGTTTAATAGTAGGTTCTATGATTTTATAGCAATCCTTTTTTGCTTATCCTTGTACAACTGAAAATCACTCATCATATTAAGAACTAGGAAATTCACAACTTGAATGAGAAAAGACTCTACAGAGGCCTACACTGACATTAATCAGAGGTTTGAATGATCTGACAAGACTTTTAAAGAGGCTATTAGAAAAGTGAAAGCTTCAATGAACAGTTACAAATGCTCTTGGAATAAATTTAGAAAATAAAACTAACACTAAAGAACTAGAAGATACAAAAAAAAAGAGAACCAAATGGAAATTAACAGAACTGAAAGACATAATAACTGGGCAGTGGGGGGCTAAAAAAGCAAATAAAAGCAAAACTCTTATGGGATAGGCTCAATATCACAATGAATATGTCAGAGGAAAGAATCAGTA